CATGTCACTTCTGCATGCTGTAAGTCCATTGTTTTTGAATTTCTGTGTTACTTTGGCTATATTTTCACACTTAAAACAATAATTTGGTATTCCTCTTGTACCATTGTCCTCTTTTATGCTAAGAAATAAATCTCCTGACAGTTCCCTCTCAAGTGGTTTCATTGTTGTCAGCATTAAGTCTGAGTATGATTCAGTGGGCCATATAACACTTAATTGTCAAGAAATGACTTATCTTTAACAGTTTTGGTTCAACATACTTACCTGTTGATCAATACTCGCCTTAACCTTACACCAGCATTTTTGTTTGTTTGTTTTATTTAGTAACTTTCAGGAGGGTGTACTCATTTTTACAACACAACATTTTATCACTTTGATAAGAACATTTTATTTTCTTGAATAATCTTAACATTCTTCTTTGGTAACTGATCAAGCAGACTTGCTGGAATATTATATCTCTAAAAAAACAAAACGTCTTCTAAGCAAAGAGTAATTGCTGAATTTGTTAAGTTTCAGAGGGGGTGTACTCATTTATGCTGTGCACTGTGTATATGTATATGTATATGTATATATATATATATATATGCATGTATATGCGTGTTCGTGTGTTATGTAAATATGTAAAAATATATAACATGTTAAACTAAATAACTTCAATAATGAATCAATTCTGCAGTCTGATCTATGATAGAATGCATTACACAACAATAATGTAATACATTTTACAATACGTTTATTTCACATACTACTAAAAAAACTAGAAGTCTGTATACAATATACACCGCACTGCTTAAGTATTCAGTAAGCGAGTATCCCATTCCTTACAGAGCTATGGTACCTCTCAACAGCATCTTACAATCAGAAACCCTTCATCCTTATCCTTAACCCTTTATGACACCTCTCAAAAATGGGTCACTACCTGGAGCTGCCCAGAAAGACAAAGACGAGAAACAAGAGAAAAAAGGAGGGAGAGAGAGGGGGAGACCTCTCCTGAACTATCCATAGACTCAGCTGTGTTTTAAGAGCGGCTCTACTGAGTGTTTTAAGGAGTGATTACCCGAGGGAGACTTTGTATGGGATGTGGTACGTGTGCTAAACGAGGTCATCACAAGTGTCCCGTACAATAACTGAATTAAGGACAACTACCAAGAAAAATGTGTTTCTTCATGATAAAACTAATTATATCAGTGCTTTCCAAAATGGTTACAGATTGGCAGATTGGTCACACACCAAAACATAAATGACCAATCTGCCCATGCAGCGGAATTCAGTCATAAGCCTCATATATACTCACCAGCCTCTTCAGCACTGACCCGACAGAGCAAGAACAGAGAGCAAAAGTCTGGTGAAAGAACCATTCCATTAAAGATAATCGGGTCTGTGCTGCAGTTTTTCATGCTCTGAAAAGTCCATATAAGCTGTGTTTCTCTCTGACAACAACAGCCTGAGGGATCCGTCAGGCCTGCAGAGCTGGGTGGCACAGGACTGAATGGATCAGAGACGGGCTGAATTAGAGAGGGTCGCTGTTCCCCATCACTAACGCTTCATTCATTACACACTCCATCCTGGCCCTCTAGCTCTGGCTTTATCGCACTTTCTATCTGTAGTTAAACAGTATTTAATAAACACACACACTAATATTTCTCAATGGTGTGACTGCTGATTAAATTTGAACAATGTGAAACTCTCATCAGACTTTTCAACAAACGATTATATTCACATAAGGCAACCGATCGTATCTATTCTGTAAATGCATGCTATAAATATTATTGAACAATTCATCCATGTCTGTTTCATTTTTTTTTTATTAAATATATTTTTATTTATGAACCCTAAGATAATGCCCAAAATATTTTCACTGTCTTGTTTTGGTTTCAATGAGAACTATAGCTTAAATATAGTTGGACAGTTTGAAGTTGAGTTACAAACCACCAAAATTCTCATTGAAAACAAATAGCATTACACAAGACACATTCTGGTAGGCAGAAGGGGAAGAAGAGGAGAATCAAGAACACGGCTTGACAGCAAAGTGGCCCATGGGCCAAAAGTAGCCCATTAATCAATTTATACAGCCCTTTTATAACTTATATTAATTTATACAGAGCTGTCTGATACATGAGAGTGCTCTCTTCACAAAACTGAAATCAAAAGCACTCAAGGGGTCAACAATTACAAGGCCAGAGCACAGCATGTTTTAGCTTCCAATGGTCATAGTTCAGCTACTTTCTAAACATGACCCAGCACAGCGTAATCACACATATTTGATCAAGTCTCACTCAATCAGATGTATTTATGCAAATAACTTGACTGTTGACATCAAGCATTAAGCTGTTGCAGCTCATTTGTTCAGAGTGTGTAGCGTAAAAAGTGATATCAGGAAGAGCCACTGAACCTGCATACATACAATGTTTGGTTCTATACAGCTATGAGTCATTCTTAAGTTTGAACATAATTAAATCATCTTTTTGAATTTACTCATTAATGATCATGTGTACTGTGTATGTATGTTTGTGTGTGTGTATATATACATTAGGACAGCTGAATAAAGACAAATGTCTGTCTATATTCTCAGTCATTGAGCACATTAGGTGTGTTTAGTTTTGTTTCTCATGATAACATTTTAGACTTAAAATTAAAATGCTATATTCTAATAACTACTTTGAAAAATGTTGGCCTTCCTCTAAAATGTTCATTTGGATAATCTGGCTTTCGAAAGAAAATAATTGAAGATCCCTGATTTCAGAGTAGAGAAATAAGTACACAGCAAAAGTGCTGAGAGCAAGAGAGAGTGAGAGAGAAATCCTGGGCATGTGGAAAGTTGTGTCTTAAATGTGTGTGTGTATTGTGCTGTGGGGCTTGTATAAGGTTGTCTGAGAGCAGTTAGAGAAGGAGAATGCTTGAAGAGGGGGAATGTGTGCTGGTAATTGCCTCAGTTTGGATATTTGCCCTGGAGTTCACAATAACAGTCATATCCTCTCATCTTAGAACAGGGGCCAATCAAACCTCATGGCTATGCAACTACCCTCTGCAACACAATATAACAGGAGTCCACAAAAAAAACTCTATTACTGAACTTTAATTCCAAGAGTGATTATTGGATGCTGGGTAAAGTTATTCTCTATTTAAAAGACTGAACAATTCAATATGATTAGTTCATCCCCAGTGAACTTGACAATTACAAAAACTAGATAAAGTACTGATTTAACAATAATTCACAGTTAATTTATGCACATAATTCATCTTGCCACTGAAAAATCTGTCAGATGACTGTAATATCTGTTCCAACACTGCCATGTACATGGACTTTGTTTACATCACATCTACACAATACATTTCACCCAAAAATGAAAATTCTGGCATCAATTACTGCACATCTTTCTTTCTTCTGCAGATAATTAGGGTCCAAACAACATGAGTCCATACTGACTTTTATTGTTTGGGGGGAAAAAAAGAAGATGAATATCTTTCACAGAAGAAGGTCAGTAACACAGGTTTGTAATGACACAAGAGTAAATAAATGATGACAGAATTTTAATTTAGAATATTCAGTTGAACAAATGGAGAGGAGAGGAGAGGAGAAGAGAAGAGAAGAGAAGAGAAGAGAAGAGAAGAGAAGAGAAGAGAAGAGAAGAGAAGAGAAGAGAAGAGAAGAGAAGAGAAGAGAAGAGAAGAGAAGAGAAGAGAAGAGAAGAGAAGAGAAGAGAAGAGAAGAGAAGAGAAGAGAAGAGAAGAGAAGAGAAGAGAAGAGAAGAGAAGAGAAGAGAAGAGAAGAGAAGAGAAGAGAAGAGATACTTTAGTCTGCCTTCGTCTTTCAGATGAAGAGAGGAGGGGAGGGGAGAGGAGAGGAGAGGAGAGGAGAGGAGAGGGACTGAACGATTGCTGCTCTGTAAAGTAAAGCCATGATGCTCTTCTGTGTGAGCTGGAGAGGGTTTGGAGAGGGGCATTTCTGAACCTCGTATCACACACTGCAATTAGTGTGGGCTGAAGATGCCTCTCTGTGTGGGAGAGAGAAAGGATGCTGGTGTGCAAAAACAAGAAACAGCTCTGTGGACTTGTATTATGTTGAATTGGTGCAGGGTATGTAGGGAGTGGGATCTGTGACGTAAGGGACGTCCACCCTCACAAGCACTTAAAAGATGGCTGATAAAAATGTGTAATGCTGGTCCTGAAAAAAACAAATGTGCATGTTGTTTCCTAAATATAATTTTTTTCTGCTTCCACAGTACACCTCTAGTAATTTACTATTCATTCACAACATCTGTTTGATTTTTCCGCACTTCTGGAAGTTGTTGACTATATGTAGGAAAGATGTTCAGTGATGCAGCTGGCAGCTGGTTTCAAGACAACATTTTTTTTTAATAACCCTGTGAGATGAGGGCATACAGGTGTACCAAGATGTATATTTTGAGACTATTGGGTGTTTAGAAAGTTGTTTTGAAGTGCAAAACAACTTTGTTTGGTGCAAGAGGTAGGGTACATGGGACTTTAGAATACGGAATACAAAGCCACAGCTTTTTGGGTCAAGCAAGGAAGAAAACATAATTAATTAGCTGAAACAATTTGTCTGTAGCTAATACTTCGCTGATGGCACTCCAGTTATATATGCTTAATACTGAAGGTGTAGTTCACTCAAAATTTGTTCATCTGAAGTTGTTTAATATAAAAAAAAGTTGTCAAAACAATTGTAGTGTTATATGGCTTCTGAAGCCCTACAATAGCTAATAAAACACATTTGGGGCGACATGAGTGTGAACACATGACAACAGAATTTTTTATTTTCAGTTGAACTACCTCTTTAATGCAGAAAAGTCAATGCTAATATAACTGCTGTTAAAGAGCCCCACTGAGAGCCCTCCTAGCCAAAATAGTAGAGCGAGTGGGCGAATTAGCACTCTTCATTGACCCGACACATGACATTATACAAACATTTCTGGGAAGTTTCATCCCTGACAAAGCCTTCAGTGAGTACCCAGCCCATCTAATATTAGAAACCTCCTGTAGCTTTAGAGGGCGAACGTACCTGCGAGGACCCTATTGACGGATGAGTGTGTTGCCAGGCCCGGCTGTCCTCGCTCATGGAAGATTCCAGCATACGGCAAAAACTCCGGCAAGAGGAACCGCCTGGGAGAGATGGAGGGAAACAGAGGCAGTGTGAGAGAGAATGACAGAACATGTGAACCCAAGATTTGAGAATTTTGAGGTTGTGTAACATATCAGCATCACATGCATATTTCACAGAGAAGGAAATTCCATAGAGCACTGTGAAAAACTCAGTAAAACAATATATCCAGCATGGGGGAAAAAAACCCTAAATGCAGATTTTAAATGTAACTGATAACAAAACTAATTTCAATAGAAATTTAAATTGTAAACAGTATCAATAAAAAGTTTTTTTTTTAAAAGCGGTTCTATTATGCTTTTTAACTTTTTCAACTTTAGTTAGTCTGTAATGTTGCTGTTTGAGCATAAAAAAGATCTGCAAAGTTACAAAGCTCAAAGTCCAATTCAAAAGGAGATATTTTATTGAACAGAAATCACTTTTCAAAAACTACAACGAACGACTCGTTCGGACTACAATGCATATTTTCTGGGATTTGTGATATCACAAATATCGATGAATGGGACGAGACCTGGTTGAGCTGCACTAGAGAAGGCAACAGTGTTATCACTAATGTCGGAGACATGCTAGCTTTCCCAAGGCAGATGAACTTAGAGTGGTTATAATCATCCGGGTTTAAATCACGCTCAAATTTATTTGATTTTGACTCAATATTTACACTGACGCTCGCAGGCGGCTATGGTAAGGGGCATGACATTTCCCGACCAGGTGCCGAGTGCTGCCAATCACAACACACACTGGCCCAGCTAACCAATCACAGCACATTTCGTATTTCAGAACGTGGACTTTCATTTGATACAGGAACTATTCGAGCCGTTCATGCCAGACTGGGGAGAGAGGTGCTGTAATAATGTAAAATATGTGAAAAATAATGTTTTTCTCAAACAACCTAGTATGAGAGCCTGTTCTAGTACACCCCCAAAACAAAATCCAAGACTTTGTAAAAGAGCATAATAGGACCCCTTTAATTCCCCAAATGTGTGTGCTATGTATACTACCGTTCAAAAGTTTGTAAAAGAAATGAATACTTTTATTCAACAAAGAAGCATTAAATTGATCAAAAGTGACAGTAAAGTCTGTTACAACAGATTTATTTTTCATAGTGTGAAACTTATGTGAACTTTCGCTTTGAACTTTCTATTCATCAAAGAATACTAAAAAAAATGTATCAGGGTTTCCACAAAAAAATATTAAGCAGCACAACTGTTTTCTACATTGATAATAGAGTAGACTAGAGTAACGGCTGTTTTGCCATCACAAAAATAAATTACATTTTAAAATATACTCAAATTGAAAAATTGTAATAATATTTCCCAATATTAGTGTTTTTATTCATATTAAGTGTTTAACTCTTTTTAATAAAAAATGCAGTCTTGATGAAGATAAAACACATTTTAAAAAACCTTACTTACTCAAAACTTATATTAAAAGTAGTGTATATTTCTAATAATATTATATTTATTTATAATATTATTATTATTATTATTAGAATATTGTGTCATCTCTCACATCAACTGTATTGAAATCAATTGTGAGTCAAGTCTCCTGTGTACTTCTTGTGCCTGCAGAGTGCTATTTGTATGACACACAACACACTCTCAGATGTAGGCAGCAGGCAGTGAGGCAGCTCACTAGGTTTTGGAACAGAGTTAGCATGTACTTCTGGTGCATTGGCATAAACAGACTAAAAGTGTTCCTACCTGGGCATAAAGCGACCAAGGGAGGGGGCAGACATGCGTGCGTTACGAGGAGCCCTATGTCTGCTTCCATTGTCCCTGTACACACACACACACACAGACACAAACTAACTGGTCAGCAACAATAATAATTTGATCAAATATAACTTGCTTAAAATCATTTGTGTTTTATAATTTTGGAAAATCAAGTCAAAGTGTGAATACTTAATTAAACAGCTTAAGCATTTCTGCAATCATTTTTAGCTGAATGAGAACGTCATCAGTACGCTTACAAGGTAAGAGTGGAAATGAATGATAAAGAACAAAGAATTTTTTTTTTGGCAGACATAAATATTAATATGAGAGCTAAACGAAAGACTGATGGGTTTCATAAGTATTCTGATGAATATGGATCTGTGGTCCCAGACTGCAGTGAACGCTGAACTCTCCAGCCAGCGGGTGGAATTATTCATCAGCTTAGAGGAGGGCATCTAATCCGTGCCAAAAAAAGAGAGATAGAGAGGGCGAGAAGAGAAGCGTGGTTTGGAGAGGAGAGAAACACTGATATTCAACTAGTGGAGGGGTTGGAAAGAGGAGCATTAATGGTTCCATAAAAGAACTGAAGCCATGTGCACAGACAAGGCTGCTTCCAAAAACAAACAACATAAAAGAGCGTTTGCATATTACAAATATGAGTCTGGACTTTATAACAGTTCTCAAAATAAGAGAGTATGGCTTAGATTTTTAAATATCTGATAATGAGATTGCAAGGGACATGTAATTTCATAATTTGCTTATGGAAAAAACTGTAATGGCTTAGTAAATTAAAAAAATAACTTATTTTTCAACACCCCTGTGCCTCATCTGCCTTTGCAGAGTCTTACTCAATGTCTTAACAGGCGTCATATACACACAGCCGGTATCCCACTACTCACATATCCCATGGGCACCTATTTCATTAGAACTCATTATAATCATTACACTTAATTTGCATTATACTTAAAGGTGAACTAAGCGAATTTTGCCAAATGATGTTGATATCTGAAAGCACCAAAACAAACACGCCCATAGCCCAACAGGACCTTACCCCTGTTTTGATAACTCAGCCCCACATGTACCCTGGCAGCTACGATGGCGAAATCTGCTATGCCTGCCAGTCGAGTGTATGGTGCCATCAATAAGTGAAAGCCATGTGTGTTACTATGGTAATTCAGGTCGAATGTGTTTGGTAGTAGTGTGTGTTGAATGGTAGGGATGCAGCGATTAACCGGTTTCGCGATTAACCGCCCTTTAAAACATCACGGTTAATTACTCGTAAAGGTTTCCGCTAACCCGAGTGTTTCTGTTACACGGAACGGAACTGTTGCAGCTTGCGCAAAACGAAAACAAAGTTACACTAGCGGTGCACCAGCTTAAAACATGCATTAGATTAACTGTGACAGAGGGACCAAAAAGCAAAGCTTTATTTCCACCAGAGAATACATAAGGGATAATGCACAGCTAGCTGTACATTGAATGATTTTAATGCACGACGTGAAGGCGAGAACCACCTGACGCGAAGCTACAGCTCGTTAGCTCAGCATTCTGCAGATCAGAAAGAGATGAAATAGTGCGGTAAGATCACATTTATTTGAATTAATTCATTATAACATTTAGCTATTTGAATTAATTATTTGAGAGAGAGAGAGAGAGAGAGAGAGAGGACAGTTGCCTGTGTGAATTAGCCTACCTGCGTCTGTGCGTCTCTCCAGTAGGTTATTTAATCTATTTTATTAATAAAAGTCACGGGCCAGCATTCTCAAGAAGTTTGTGTCCTCCTGAATGTTTGTACACGTTCGCAGCACGATCTCACAAACCATGTAAAATCATATTAATTATTATAAAGATTATTAAAATGAATACGTATGGATGACAGTTGATTACAATAATATTTCAGTTAATTTCCATCATTAGTAACAGTTTCCACCGTGGGACAAATAAAGTTAATATTAGTCGTATATTAATAATAGGCTACTTCATTAACTTAGTTATTTACTATCCCTGGTGTAGTATTATTCATAAGTAAATACCAACAATATTTTTTTTCACCATGTTTCCAAATTCTCTACCCCAGGTCCAAATCAAATGTAAAGAATGTACAAACTGAAAACATTAAATACTTTTGTGATCTATTTCCATTTGTTATTTTCAAAAGAGAAATACCGTCATGGATGTTTACAGAGCAGAGGTCACCTTTTTTTAATTCCAATGGGAGAGATGGACTTTTGTTTGTCTTTTGTTTATTATTATTTTGTGCTGTATTGTTG